GCGATCCCTGCGTGGGTTCTGGAAGTATTCCAGTTTTTTGCTAATTTGACTTGAAATTAATCCAAAATCGATGTATATAGTATACGGTCGTGTGAAGTGAATTTGTATAATTTACTCGATAAAATACATACGACAACAAACATAAGAGGTTAAAATACGCAAATTTCCACAGAAGTTGATTGAAACATTTGTATTAAAATTTAATCTAGCCTGCATGCCCTGTTCTCACTCCGGGTTCGTCTCGCAAATGGTAACTGATATAAGTCGCATTTCATTATCGAACTGCATTGTTTAGTGAGGAGGATGTTTCAAATAACATGGTTAATGTAATTGCTGTATGCATCTCTCTAAATCACATGTTTTAATTAGGACGAAAAAGATTCGGCTGGTACCACATAACTTATCAGTTTAGAAACCAGCATTTTCCATGAGGGTGCGTCCCCGCAATAAATCAGTATTTATTTTATTCATTAGCAAACGGACACGCTTTTAAGTGTATATACAAATTATTCGGACATTGAACTGTCACCTGCTCGGCACGAAACCCCTGGGAACCACAGTGTTGATTTAACAGCTTACCCAGATTGGATTGTGACCATAATACATTTTCTTTTCGCTGTAGCTTACACCAACACTTGCAGCTTCGACAATGGACGATGCCGCTTCTTCTGCATGCCTGGTGGCCTCACCTCAGCACAAAGCTGCAAGTGTCCGGATGACCAGCCTACCTGCGTTCCCGAGCTGTCATAACCTGTGCGGCGTTACCGCCCCTACTATTCCATAAATATTATCTTTCAGGCTTGCAATTAACTGATATATTCGTTGGTACAGCGAAGACACCTACTGGTTATATGTCAGAATGTGAATTGTCCCAAATGGAACGACTGCTACTTTTAGACTTCTGTACTTATAGTGACTTCATTGTCAACACACAAAATCCCGTGAGCATGCTGTTCCACCCCCTTTCCCCCTGTTCAATTTCTGTGTTTAAAAGGCCTGATTGATGTTATTGAAGTCTGTTTTTATTCTAAGCACTATGGAGACCCCGGAAGTTTCCAGTCGTCTCCTGTGCTGTAAGGGGCAACCTATAACCTCGTCGACAGTAAAGGGTGTCATGGTAACACATATGTACCTTCCCGTCTCTTGTCCTACTGGTCCGCCGGATGCCGGTTTTGCGTTTTGATGGTCATTGCTCGCGTCTGTTTCGGGATTGTCAATCTCATTTACATCTCTCAACGTCCACTTTCTCCTCTGGTTCGGGTTGCCTTGAATTTTGGTTCATACTTAGTCTTAATCCTGGTGGTTGAACTGCGTATGATGGGTTTGAGATGCCGTAGGAAGAGCCATGCACCTGTTAATTAATATCATGCTGTGTGTTGGGCACGTAGTGTTTCTTTGGTCTGTGCGGTCCTTTTAAAAGCTCAAGATTTGGACCACCCGGAAAAAATAACGTTTTAATTTGCCATATGAGGCGAAAGATACGTCGGTTCGAGGGAAGTACAAGAACTTAGCTTGTGTGAGCGGCCAGACTGACAGTAAAGGTACTAGCGAAAACCGAAACATGCAATATAGTTGCAAAAATCCAAAACTAACTTAATAATAGTTGGGAACAATCTCTAGAGATAAGAAAAAAATTAACTCAGTAAAAATAAGAAGTTGTACGATTCTCATCAAATAAAGGGTTAATTAGAGTGAGCCTGTAAATTGTTACTAGGATATCTTCTCGTATGCATAAAGTACTGGTAAGAAGCAGTTTACACGTGCTGAGGGCATAGACCAATGAAGTCAGATGTCATTCTGACATATCTTCTAAAACTTATTCCGTTATTATGCTTTCTACACGCTAAATCAAGAGTTTTCCTAAAATACAACTGCAAACCCGTATTTTCTTCATCCTGAGTTCAAATGTAAAGCATGCGCATAAGAATGAAGCAGAAAAATATACCAATCAGTAAAGGCATATCAGAAAATAAAAACCAATCATTTCACAAGAAGTCGTTTACTACTGTTAATGAGAAGAGCTTTTAAATATTGAATTAATCTGTACTTCTAGAAGAGGCAGGCGCTACTAGCTAACATTGCTTGGGTCTTTTAAATGCAGGAAAACCAAGTCAGGTCAGGTTTTAAAAAAATTTATAAATCCAATCTCAAGTAAAATGTACATCTTATCGAAGACAAGTACACTTTTCAGGCTAAAAATTGGGAGACAAAATAATTCGCGTGTTCACATCAATTGTAATTCCAAGACCGGAAAGGCGAGCAAGCCGTTGGATTTAAAATGGAGATACAGCTCGCGTTTTCAAATTTGGTAATGGAAAGTAAATAAATAATCTACGAGGAAGGTTACTTCGTCCCCAACTTAGTATGTGCATTCTAATAACAATGGCTTAAGCCACGATCTGCACGACTATGGCACTTGACTAAAACGAAGGGGTCCACGCATAGGCCGTTTTCTCC